CACCCACCACCACCGGAGGGGGAGGAACACAAGGAACAGTATAACTATTGCAGACAAGAGGTTTGAGTAAGGACACATGAAAAGTGTTGGGAATCCCTAAAGATGCAGGAAGAGCCAGAGAGTAAGACACTGGATTGATCCTACGAAGCACTCTATAGGGACCAAGGAATCTGGGGGCAAACTTCATGCTAGGGACCTTAAGCTTGATGTTGCGAGATGACAACCAAACCAGGTCCCCCACTTGGTACATGGGTTGGCACTCCTACGCTTATCAGCAAAATGTTTGAAGCGTTCAGCAGCAGCCCCTAGAGCACTTTGAACCTTAACCCAGGTATCCCGAATGGAGGCCAGACGCTCATCCAGAGCAGGAATGGCAGTATCAGAAAATACCGCAGGGAGAACCATAGGATGCCTACCATTATTGACAAAAAATGGACTGTGCCCAGAGGAGTCACGAACAGCATTGTTTCTAGCGAACTCGGCCCACAGGAGTAGTTTGGACCAATTGTCTTGTGTGCTATTAATAAAACAACGCAAATAAACTTCTAATGGCTGGTTAGCCCTCTCAGCTGTACCATTGGTCTGTGGATGGTAGGAGGAGGAGAAGGAGAGATCAATCCCCAATTGTTTACTGAACGCCCTCCAGAACCTGGACACAAACTGAGAGCCCCTATCAGACACAATATTGTGGGGGATGCCATGCAAACGGACAATTTCACGTATGAAAATTAGGACCAAATCTTGCGAAGATGGCAACTTCTTGAGAGGAATGAAGTGAGCCATCTTAGAAAATCGGTCTACAACCATGAGAATAGTAGTGAACCCAGCAGAGCTAGGAAGCTCAACAATAAAGTCCATGGATAAGTGGGACCATGGAATCTCAGGAACAGGAAGAGGCTGCAACAGGCCACAAGGAAGTGCATGAGTCACCTTAGAAACTGCACACACAGAACATGCCTGCACATACTCCTTTATGCCTTTCCTGAGTGAATCCCACCAAAATGATCAGTGGACTTATTGATGCCCGGGTGTCCAGCAATTATATTGTCATGGAACACTTTCATGATATTAACCCTTTCACATAGGGGAACGAACAGTTTATCACACGGTTTACCACTGGGCGCCTGAGGCTGGGCCTCCAGTATGGTGCCAAGCAGTGGAGAAGACAGTGGGAGGACAGTAGTAGCAATAATACACTCTGGTGGAATAATAGGAGATGTCACCTGTTCCGGAGCTGATTCATTATTAAATTGCCTGGACAAGGCATCAGCCTTGGTATTTTTAGAACCAGGTCTATAAGTAATGAGAAAGTTAAAACGTGAAAGGAACAGTGACCATCTAGCCTGTCTGGAAGACAAATGTTTGGCATCCCCTATATATGCCAGATTTTTGTGGTCGGTTATGATCAACAGGGGGTCCTTGGAACCCTCCAAAAGATGTCGCCACTCCTTGAGGGCAAGAATAATGGCCAACAGTTCTCTATTGCCAATATCGTAGTTGCGCTCAGCAGGAGACATCTTTCTGGAGAAGTAGCCACAAGGATGCAATGGTGTTCCCTGGCTTTCTCTCTGAGAGAGAACAGCCCCTAGCTCTGTCTCAGATGCATCAACCTCCAATATAAAAGGTTTACTAGTGTCGGGATGTTTTAGTATGTCCGCAAAGGAAAATCTTTGTTTAAGAGTCTCAAAAGCATTCACAGCCTCTTTGGACCATACCGTGCTACTAACCCCTTTGCGAGTCATATTTGTGATTAGGGCTATTACAGAAGAAAATCCCTTGATGAATCTTCTGTAATAGTTGGCAAAACCAATAAACCTTTGAATAGCTTTTAAACCAGAGGGTAATGGCTAGTGTAGTAAAGCCTCTAGTTTTTTTAGGATCCATTTGAAATCCCGATGCAGAGATGTTGTAACCCAAAAAGTGGACTTCAGGCTGGTCAAATATGCACTTTTCTAATTTACAATAAAGTTTATTTTTCAACAACGTCTGCAGAACCTGTTTCACATGGGAGTGGTGAGTTTGAAGATCAGGGGAATACACCAAAATATCGTCCAAATAAACCAAGACAAATGAGTAAATGAATTCCCTGAGTACATCATTTATAAAGTCTTGGAATACGGCCGGGGCGTTGCATAACCCAAATGGCATTACCAGATATTCATAGTGTCCACTACGGGTATTAAATGCCGTCTTCCACTCATGATTCTCTTTAATTCTAACCAAATTGTAAGTGCTCCTAAGGTCAAGCTTAGTAAATACTTTAGCTCCCTGAAGTCTATCGAACAATTCGGAAATGAGTGGGATAGGGTATGCGTTTTTTACAGTGATTTTATTAAGTGCCCTGTAGTCTATGCAAGGGCGTAACTCACCACCCTTTTTCTCAACAAAAAAGAATCCTGCACTAGCTGGTGAGGATGACTTTCTTATGTGCCCTTTGCTCAAGGATTCTTTGATGTATTCCTCCATTATTTTACTCTCCTGGGGAGATAAGGCATAAACTGCCCCCTTAGGTGGCATAGCGCCTGGAAACAGGTTAATGGCACAGTCATATGCTCTGTGGGGAGGCAATACATCGGATTGAGCCTTGTTAAACACCTCCTGAAGTTCTCGGTATTGTATGGGAACTCCAGGAGTTTGGGGAGTGGTAGTGGGAAGGTCAATAGTATCCAATCTCTTTAGTACTGGTTTTATACATCTCCCCATACACTCTTTACCCCATTCTAATATCTCCCCATTAGCCCAGTCAATATAGGGATTGTGCTTACTCAGCCACGGAAACCCTAATATGATAGGACATGATGGAGAAGTAATAACCTGAAACGTCATCTCCTCCCTATTTGAGGCCCCAATGGAGATCGTAATAGGGACAGTTTCGTGGGTTATAAGCGGTTGTGTGAGTGGTCTACCATCAATAGCCTCTACAGCTAGTGGCGTAGGTCTCTCCCTGACCGGTATCTCATTACCCCTAATAAACTGGACATCAATAAAATTTCCAGCAGCACCTGAGTCCATTAGGGCACTGCAAGAAAACTTCTTGTTATCAAGGGAAATAGATACCTCAAGGAGGAATCTACTTTTGTTTTTGTTAGAGGACAACTCCATCACACCTAAGATCTGTCCCCTTAAGGTTCTTACATACGGAAGTTTTCCGGACGCACTGGACAATTAGTTATCATATGTCCCTTTCTACCGCAATATAGGCATAACCCCTCCCTTCTCCTATACTGTTTTTCAGCCTCTGACAGTCGAGTGACCCCCTCAGGTTCGGGTTCGGACTGTACAGGGAGGTTAGACAAAACAGGTTTAGAGAATTGAGGTGCTAGGGACATAGCCGTACGTCTGGTCTTGCTTCTGGTGACTTCTCGGAGTCTTAACCTATTATCAATATGCATGACAAACGTAATAAATTCGTTAAGACTCTTAGGTAATTCTTTAGCAGCTATCACATCTAGTATAGTCTCTGAGAGACCCTTTTTGAATGCTGAGATTAACCCATTGTTAGTCCAGTCTACCTCGGAAGCTAAGGTACGGAATTCAATAGCATATTCCGAGATAGACCGGTTACCTTGTCTGATGTGCATTAGGGCAGTGGAGGCATCATCCTCTCTACCCAATGGCTCAAACGTGAGCTTGAATTCGGCAAGGAATTCCTGGTAATTATGAGCTATGCTACGATTACTCTCCCATAATGGATTAGCCCAGGCAAGGGCCTTGCCCTTTAATTGATTCATTAGATAACCAATTCTTGCTCTGTCCCTGGGGAATGACCCTGGTGAGGCCTCAAAATGGTACTCCACCTGATTAAGAAAACCCCTGCATTCCTGGATATTGCCATCAAACTGTAGGGATGGTGATAAGGAGATGCTAGGAGTCGTATTAACAGTGGGTGGAAGTACACAGGGTAGAGGTGCTATAGGAGGAGAAGCTGCAGGCTGCAGATGCTCCGTTCTAGCGAGAAGCGTACTTAAAGCCTGAGTGAATTGATCCATGCGGTGATCATTCTCCTCTAATTTCTTCTCGCAAGCAGCTATGTGCTGACACAGTTCTACAGGATCTATGGCTATGTCGTAATGTCAGGATTACTGTTTGATCCAGCACGTAGAACTGTACAGCACGGATGACAAATAAGTAACGTATTACCGGTCCTTAGAATGGCCGGATTTAACGTACAAAGAATAGTCAAAAATACTAGCCGAGGTCAGGGAACACAGAAAGGACACAGCAGTGAGGAAAGCCAGGAGTCAGGATACCAGAATACAGAGAAGTCAATAAACAAAGCCAAAGTCAAAAACCAGGTAGAAAACTATAAACAGGAACGCGCTCTCGGACAACCACAAGGGAAACCACAACAGGGCACAGAGCAGGCTGAGAACTGGGCCTAAATACCCCTCCTTTAGTTCTGATAGGCTGTAACCGGCCTTTGACCCCAAAGTCAGTTACCAGGTTTCATTAGCATAATTGCTGCTCAGCATTAACCCTTCTGTGGATTAGGTTGCTGCTCGGCACAACTTTTCCTGTGTGGACAGTAAATGTCATTAACCACATTTCTATAAGCAGATGAATACGTGACACTTATGACAAATGTGGCTCTGAACAAGGGAAACCAGAGGTACATTTGCAGCAGATGGAATCCCTTTGCTAACATCACTTAAGAGAATCTGCAGTATAAGTGAATCATTTGATCTAGGCAAAGGGATTGCCAGTCCATCTAGTCCATAAAGATAAATTATTGTTTATATATATTAAATGTCCTAATATATATTTCCTAATCTTCTAATATATTATAATAAAATATCCTTTAGTATTGTGAATTATTTAGGTGTTAACCTAAAGTAAGTAAATATAGTAAGGATCCTTGACATAACACACGTACTCTCCTTTAGCAAACAGTAAGCTTAGAATTATTTTTTACTGATTACCATTTTTCCTATTGTATCATCCCATTTAATTGGTTTATAATTTGTAAAAAAAATATCTTATGCAATATTGCGACCTGATTTATGCTTCTGTTCGCGAACACATCTATCATTATTTCTTGAAATACAATTATGATTAATTGGAAAACAACTTTGTATTGTTTGAGTTATTCATAGAAATAGTTAGGAGCAGATTGTTCTGTTCTAAGAAAAGTACTAAACATTTGGAGAGCTTTGGTGTTCAGAGACATTAAAACAATATTCAGTTTGAACTGGGATGATGCCACATTTATCTCACAGTTAAGGTCTCAATTACATTTAAGTTGATCATGTGTATCTCCAGATATTTTATTTTTAGGTCCCCGATAAGCCTTCTTATGGTCTAGATCAGTTTAATTACTGCAGGT